CCCGGCTGAAGTGGAGGGGGTAGTTTGCATTCTTGGCCATTTCATGAAAAAAGGGTGCAACCATGGGAGTAAGCCAAGAGGAGGGCTCAATTATGCATGGTTAAACAAAGCCCAAGGCTACCAGCGAGCAATGTCTCAGCAAACTCACTGCCTCTTTCTGGAGCTCCAGACTCCAGGAGGACCCCAACTCTCAATGGCACAGAGGGAATAAAACAACAAAAAAAAAAGAAAACAAACAGGGTCGTACGAACGTATCTCCTGATAAATCACTGGATTGTGTTATGACAAGTGCAGGCAGATTGAAACTAAACTTCTCAGAGACCTTCAAAACTGTGCTTAAAAGCAAACATTTCCATTCACACGAGGTCAAATGATACATCGCAGAGTTTACATTTACAATAAACCATCTCGAGAGGCGACGGTTTACTCCAAGCACAGAAAATGACTCAACTAATTGTAGACCTGATTTTTCAAATATACACAACAGTAATTCTCTCCGGAGCCAGCTGTGGAGTACTGAAGTCCCACATTAAATATTCTAATGATGTAAATACCCCCTGTAAGTAATCCATTCATTCTTTAAGAGCATTTGTAGGCTACAGCTATACTTCAGTGTTATAGTTTGAAGAAAACATTTTCAAACTAAATCAATCTTTGTACATGCAAGCATTTTAGCTCTGTATCAGTTTATTTCCCCATCCATACTAACACGCCTGAAAACACATATCGCGTGTCCACTCACTACACTGGGCATGCGTGTGTTGATTTACAGTTTGCTCCAATAATAGTTGTCTTCTACGTATGTAAGCAGAATTTAACAGCACAACAGCTGTTAGCAAAGACAACAGAGTACTCAACGCTTGTAGTTGACAATCCATGTTGTGTTCTGCAGCGGTGCCGAGGCTAATGCAGGTTGTTTTCGTGGAAGGGGTCATGTGATAGGAGCCTGACAAGTCAGCAAAAGCTACATTGTGACTGAAAAGACTCAATAAGCAAGTGGTTGTGAGGGTCTATGTCATCATTTATAAACATCTCCATTTCCCATCCTGCCTGAGGGCATGATCACACACGCAAATGTGAATATCGTGGGTCAATGTTCACCGAATTTGAACTCCACCAGAAGCCACGCTACGATTGGATTTAGCCACAGGAAGCTAATATTTTATTCGACCCTCGCTTGCAGGGATTGAATGTGAATGGGAGGTTAAAGTACGCCACTGCTACTAAAACATGGCCAGCAGCATTTCCAAACTTCTCCATTTTAACGGCACTAAAACTCCAGAGTAGTGTGGACGCCAGGGGTTTCTGTAGCAGAGTTGATTCGTTTTTTAAATGAAAACGTAGTAGTGTAGATGTAGCCTCAGTCTTTGGAAGAAATAATCATGCAGATCTGATTTGCATAGTCACTGTGTTTACATAATTAACCCTGCAGGAGCAGCAGTTGCACCTTTTACCAGGTCAGAGGTGACTTTTCCACAGCAAACCCCTCAACTTCAGCAACTGGACACTCAGCATCTGGCCCCTCTTTCTTCAGTCACACAATAAATCGGAAAGTATGTGGCTTTGGTTACATGTAAATTATAGGCAATTCTTCCAGAGCCAGGGTGGGTGGGGTGGAGGATCAGTATCCATGCATAGTGCACATATGAATGGAGGCTACCTGGCAAAAAAGCTTTCTCCCTCTTGTTTTCCTGGGAAACAGGAGAGGAGGGCTGGAGTCGGGTGACAGGGACGTCCAAAAACACACCCACCCACCCAACCCAGAGACACACACAGAGACACACACAGACACACGCACATGCACGCACGCGCACACACACGCACACAATCTATACTGTACTTAGAGCTGAGGAACAGATTTAATTATAGTTTTAAAGACCAAATAGTGTCAGTGTTTTTCTCCTTGGTGGCACTATTAGCTTGTTCCTGCTTCAACTAACTGAGTTAGCCTGTTATTCTACTGGGCTGACTTTTTTTTGATCCAGATTCTAACACCACCCCAGACAGAAAGCTGGTGAATCTAATGACTATTTCAGAAGAGACAGCAGCTGCTGAAGCCAAGAGCAAGGTTGTATGAAAGACACAGATTTACAAGGCCCAGAATTTGTTTGATCCAATATGGATTCATTTGGGGATGTTTCAGTTAAAATACCAATATTAATACTAAGAGATACTTGGAGAACTAATGAAGTAAACTGGACAAGCAGCCTTCTGCATTATCAAAATATTCATGTTTACATTAAGAATGGACCCTGAAGCAATATCAATGCATATTTTATTTACATTATCACCAAGCACAGAGGGTGCGCAGTGCAGAGTTAGTTTCCCTTTATCAAGGAAGGTCAACAATCCTGAAAAGGTAAACAAATCCAGGGTTATAGTGTTTTCAGTGTAAATCAAATAACCAGGCAGCAAGGGTTTGCTTTTGTTTTGTTTTGCCATATTGTGGGAAAACAGACACACACACACTCTTGTACTTGTATCTTAATGAGACACTCATTTGTGGAATGCATTTTCTATCCTGTTATCCTAACCTTATACATCACAACTATATGCCTAATCTTAACCTTAATCTAATCATAACCCTGAAAACTAGTCTTAACCCTCAAACAGCCCATTGAAAAAGTGAGGACCGGCCAAAATGGCCTCAGTCCATAGGGTCTATGCTATGCCATGGTCCTCACAAATATATAAATACAAGAACACACACAATGCAAGCAGGCAGACCTGCCGGTGTTGTCAGTGAATCAGCTTCTGTCACTTTTTTCCTCTCAGCAGAAGGACTGGTCGACCAATCCCAGATATGTAGGTGAAATAAATAAAGGGGCATCATTTTTCTCAGCCAGAAACAGAAAAGCAGCGACACAATATAATACTGTGATTATTGTGGGAGACATTGAAACAGCTGTATAGGTGGTAGTAAGTTAAATTACAAAACTAGTAAGTCTCAAATAACGTTAACGGCTCACAGCAACCACTGTCGATACCTCCCACCACATGAGATGAAGCATGACTGCTGCATGTCAATGTTCAAAAAGCAACATGTTGGTTATTAGTTGGGACATCAATATATATCAGTGTTTCCCGCAGAAAATGAGTCAGTCAAGGTGGTGAGCAGGGGGGAGAGGGCGTGGCACTGTAGTTCCCACAACGACGACAGGCATGCTATCCGGTTGTCGGATTTAGCTTCTTTCCCGAAAAAAAGAAAAAAAAAAGAAATGTTGGCCTTGCCACGCAGTTACAGCAGATGATAGATGGCTTAACATATTTAACCTACAGATGCCACTATTCTGCCTCATTGCGATGCGGCCTTATTTTAACCTACTGTCTGTGCATGCAGGGATGTGGAATATTTATTTATTTTCGGGGGGACGTAGTCAAGGCGCGAGGCCGTTGTTGTCATACATACATGAGTATATTCAAACAGTCAGAAGTCGCAGCTATATATATATATACACAGTGCTCTTCTTTCACATCCCATTCACACACTGATAGAACAGCCATGAGGGCTAAAGAAGCAAGAGATTGAGCGATTGCCACAAACTGAATAAAATCACTCCTCCTCTGCCTCTGAATACACAGACATGTTACACTTATTACGTTTAGAATCAGTGTAGTATGCTCTTTCTGAAGACCATTATCTCCAATGTCCATTAGAAATCAATGCACATAAATCCACTTATTAAAGAATACGCTTTATATAACCACAGAACTAATCTTAGAACCATCACAACTTCTTTAACATCAAAGTGAGTCACTGGTTTGAATTTTATACAGTCAAAGCTACATAATTCAGCACATGTTTAATGGTAACAACTTTCAGAACATCAAATCAAACTGAATGAATGAACTCAAGCAACATAACAAATGGCTTTGATTATCAGGCTGAAATGGATGGATGAAGCCAGGGCTAACTATTTCTCTGAAACTGCAAATATACTGCATCAAATGTGTTGGTGATTTATTGGCAGGCAATTAACTGGAAAGATCATTCTGGGAATCTATTTACTTTGTAGATCTGAGCTAAGTATAGAAAGCAGCTCTGAGTATAAAACATAATGATGAATCACTAATGCTACAATCCAACAGAGGCATCAATACACTGCTGCTGTACTCATTAGGCCCAGTTAGAGACGGGACAAATAAAAGCTTTTCTAGAGATGTTCAGACATCAATACCAGTATCAGAACTGTCTCCAATACTACTGAACAGGTTGGTTAATCAGCGACAAATCTATGATACCCTGTAAACTGGTTAAGATACAATTTCCAATTTCTCTTTCCCCGCTAATCACTTTGTCTTCGCTGCTCAAAAACACAGTTATGCTGTACTGCCACTGACAAGTACTGTTTTTAAAGCGGCACAGAGGAAGTTATTTCCAGTCGTGTAGTGTAGCATTAGCCAGAGGTAGCTAAAATTTCAGCAGTTATAGACTTCCATTTCGCGGGTTGGCGCTAATGTTGCGCAATCTCATAAAAGCATTTTAAGAACCACAACAAGAAAGAGGACAAGGACTTCACCAAAGCAACAAAGTGCAGCAGCAAACTTTGGAAACAACACAATCATTTTGAAAAAGACGGACCCAAAGCAAAGATAATAAAACAAACTGGTTGAGTTCACAATTTTGTATTCCTTGATTTCCTTTTTTTTTGTTCTTTTACATTTGTTACAGTTGATTGTAAAACTATATCATAAAGGAAGTTCTATCGCAATCATTCACTGTACGTATTTGTTTTTCTAAAGACTTAACCAGAGTCAGGCAATACAACAAAGAAAGCAACTATCACTTCCACTATCACTTCCATTAAGGGTTAGTAACATTGCTGTTAAAATATATTACATCTAAGTTGCTATTTGTTTGAATGCACTGAGATCGGATCAGTACTCTGTATCGGCTGATACAGTATCAGAATCAGTATCGTGAAAGAAATAAATGATATGGCAACATCTATAACAATTTCTCCTATTATTTCATATACTGTATATGGAGTTGTACTTACCACAGGAGCAGCAGGTGAAGCAGTTTGTGTGATACAGGTTCCCCATGGCCTGGCATGCTTGGCTGGCTCCATACACACCCTTTCCACATTTGATACAGATACCTGTTACACACACACACACAGTTAGTTAAAGTGTGCTTAGTAAAAATACTCACTAACACTCACTCACTAAAACTAGCCTCTTACATCCTGTGGTGACAGAAAAACTTTAAATGGTCCAAATCGTGTTGTCTTTGTGAGGTTTTAACTCTTGATTCTTTGACTCCAAAGCAAAGAACCTCCTGTTTGCACTGATCTGCTTCTGCTTTACGCCAAATGAATAAAAACCTGTTTGAGATGGTGTGAATGTTTAACTAGTGATTTAGTGACGAGATGTTTGCTACAGTTCTTGTGGGCACCATAAGAATCAAACAATCGCTGGACATGCTGTAGGCATTGTCGGAGCTTTGCTGGAAAGCTGATGAAAAACAAACCCCAAACTCTGCCAAAGCCTGTGTGCCTTCCTTTAATTATGCATCACTCAATGAAATGTGAAAAAGATGAAGTAACAGATATCATCAGCACTGTATTTCCACAGGCAGATTTCACCCATTGTTCTCTCTGTGTCTCCTTATGCCATTTAAAAACCAAAATCGCTATGATGTCAAAGCAAGTTGAGACCAAACTGAGTCAAATATAAAACATGAAGCAGACTAACAGATATCTCTTAATGATTTCTATTTCTAACCTTAACTTTTGTAATTTCCATGCATTACATCATACTGTTTGAGGGCAGCATCAGGAAAGCTGATTATTACGGATGTGTGGGGATTGTCAGGAAGAGCAGACTGTGTTCTTCCACACACTAAATTTCCTTGTTATGGCAACATCTGACTTGACTTTTATAGGCCCTGGTCTCTACAAGTAATGATGTTTGACTTGACTATGTTATACTCAACAACTAGAGCATTTACAGATGTGAAAGATGAAATTTCCACCATCTATTCTTCTATATTTAGGGTCATTACAATGATTTCTGAATTACTGAAGTCCCAAGTCCACAGTTCCTCAGTCCCATCATCAACTAAGCTGAGAATCCACAAAAAAGTCTGTATAGTTTTATTTATTCTGATTATTTAAAATTCCAGACTTTCTCAGTCACATTCAACGAATTAACTGTGAGGGTCAGATTTGACTGAAAGTGCTGGCAACATAATCAGACACACTGGTGAAAATAATAAGTTTATGAGAGCTGCTCAGTGCCTGCTCCGAACCTTACAGCAATGTTCCTCACCCAAGTAAGTAATGTACAGTGGAGCACGCAGGACAGGGGAAGGTTTCATTTGTGTTATTGGGGGGGGTTGCCTGTGTTGCTAAAGGGGAACAGAGGTTGTCATGGAAGGGTTATTTTCAATAAACAATTTACTGTGATAGTTCGTCTCAGGAAGTCAAACAACTATCTGATTGCAAAAGTCCAAATACACAGATGAGTGACGCACAGCCTGACTCAGCAATCCATAGGTACATTAGTATATAAGCCTGAACTAACCAACTACACAAACAGTGTAGGAGTATTTGAAAGCAGCAGAAGTAGCAGACCAACAATCTCCAAACTCTTGCGCACACGACGACCTCCACCGGGGTCACATTCCTGAGGGAGTGCAGGGTCAAAGCCTTGGTGGGGTGAGTCCAGGGTCACAGTGCCCACAGGACACAAGATCCCAACAAGAGAACTGCACACCAACACCCCCCACCTCCTCCCACAGAGACATTATTACATTTTAGTTATATGTAAAATAGACACGTCTCAGGAAAGATCCAGAACAAGGATACACTTCTTTCTGTGACGTAACCGTGGAATTCCCTGGCTATCTGAGCAATAATTTCCCTTTCATAAACACGTCCGGTGCAAACTGTGACATTGTAAAAGAACAGATAACGCACAAGGGTACAGGAAAACCATCCGAAGGTTACATGTCTTCCCTTTAAACCAGCCGTATTTGTACAAATTAATTAATCTGAATCAAAGTTAAATATTGGCATTTCCTGGTGTAACCTGAACCTGTGACTGCACTTAACAAAGATAACAGAGCAAAACGGGCGATAAGAATGAACAAGTAAACTTCAAATGACCATAAGTGGTTGAAATTGTTTTGCCAAAATAAAAGTCGATGATGGCAAATAAAGTGGGGAAAAAGCACAAAGGTTCCTGTGGCCAATATGGCTTTAAATCAGGGTCTTTAACAGGGAGCAGGAAGCCTCCTGACTGAAGCTGTCAACAAAGAATGAATCATTTACTTCAGCAGATTCATTCTTATATAAAAAAAATGTATTACTCAGAAAATTCACTCTGGTTCAGTGCAGGTAAACTATGTGTTTCTTATTCATCACTCAGGAGGCATGAGGCCACTTCAAATCTCTCCATAGACTCTAGACGACGATGACTGTAAATAAAAAATACCCTTTTTTAGCCTTTTTATAAAAAAAACTACAATGAGATGAAGAGAGCACATATCTCTGCAAAGGCCCAACAGTCCCCTTATGAATCCACACTTACATTTACTAAATCCAGATTCATATCAGGATCTGTGCCAAAATTCTTTCTCACCAAATTCCATTGGTAAGAAATGTGAGCGATTTGCCCGAAAAACATTCACTCTGATCCTAATTCACAACAACAGTCTTTCTTATCTTTCTGTAATGATTTATCTATCTGACCACCTGTTGCAACACTGAGCCAATGACGCGGCTTTGACTCAAAGGCTTCACACAGACCAACCAAGTACGACCGACCCATTACGACATCTGTCTAAATGCCAATTAAGTCAAGTCCCTAATTCTCTGTATTGCACAGTCAACAGCTAATGGACAACAATTACAACAAAACACATGACAGTGGTGAATCTATTTCAGTCCAACATCCTGGATGTTTTGATGGGAACTTGAGACGTGAGGCAGGAAAGAAAACAGGTACCCTTCAAATCCTTATGTCATGTCGTCAGACTGAACCTCCCTACATTGGTGATAGGACCAGCTCAGCCTATAGTACAACTGCCTGAATGTAACTTTAATGTAAAGTGCATCCCATTTATCAGTTGGCAGATAAAAGAGTCTTTCACAGATTTATTGGTATCTGCATTTGACCAATGTGAATTGGTGAATACAGATATTGTGTACATGTATGTTTACAAGTTGTATTAATTTGGTTTGAATTTAGAGTTATTTATGATAAAGTTAATGTTTTAACTGTAAAATATCAAGCCTCAATCACATTTCTTTACCATAAGGGTTTGATAGAAACCTCTTAGGAACCATTACTATTTTTTCATGTATATATATTGGCTGATAAATCAGTATCTGACATTTTCTTTACTCGCTAATAATGTATTGGCATCTGCTCCCAAAAGCCCATATGGGTCAAGACCTACTTTAATTGCTGTTTTCCAGTGGTATTGTTTAAAAAGAACGTCTCCCTCCCCCCGATCTTATTTTTTATTTCTTTTGAAATAAGTGAATTATGGCAGTGCCATTACTCACATGGCTCCCTGGCTTTGACTCTCTACCCAACGGCTGCACTGAAAAAGAATGATTTATTTATACAGCTATAACGATTTAATATTCACTCAGGTTGAAACTATATTGCACTTATTTAAAAAAAACTATATACCAAGATGCATTTCACCAACATGGAATTGTGTCTTTGTCATGAGAAAACCACAGAAATCAACTGTAAATGGGGATAAATGGTCACAGGAGTCCAAATGTGATTTGTAATGATTTCCACAAATGCTTAAAGTCCCAAAGGGTTTTATGAGTGAGGATGTGGTTATCATTTTACAGGACAGCAAGAAAATCTCTGGTATTCATTCAAACAGGATGCTGAATCCCTCATGTATAGATGTCATAACATGTCCATGTGGTCAGGAAAGGGTCTTGTGTCTTCCCTAGAGTTAAAAGTAAAACAGCATCACTTGAGTGGATGAGCTTAAATTATTTTACCTTTGGAAAGTTTAAGCCCTGTTTGGTTTTTAGAAGCAGGATTGTTGGCTCTTAATCAGATCTTTCTGATGTGATGCTGCCATAGCATGAAAATACTCTTTAATACTTTTTTCAAACATTGTGTCTCCACGCTCACTGAACACAACCCAGAACGTGCTGTGAGTTGTAAAAAGGTTTGCACAGCCAGATTCACGAAGCTCTACTGACCACTTTGTGTGACTTTGACCCTTACGGCTCAATATCAAACCAACCCCTGGAGATATGAGCAGGTTACGTGAGCACCGTCAATCAAACAAACAAGAGGGTTGAATTTATAGAGAGATGAAATGAAGACTGCAAGTTTGTCGATCCAAATATTGCCAAACAATTCAAAACCTCTGTAGAAGCGATTCAAGCTCTGCAGGTCCATGTATCCCTCAAGGACAAAAAATAAATGAGAAAAAGACTCTGCAGCATCGGAGCCTATACATTTCACAAGAGATCATGAAAAGTGAGACACATATTTTAGATTTAATCTGAGGTCAGATGTAATGTGTGCATGCACAGAATATACAGAGTCAAGACGAGGCTGCAGAGGGGGCCAGTGTGCCGCCATCCACAAGTCAGCGTGTGTGTAAGTGCGTGCGTCAGGCATGTGCATGACTACTGCCATTATAATTCTGGGCAGGTGATCAGACTTGACCCCCACCAACTATGTCTGGCCCGCCAGCCAAGATCGTGTGCCAAGTGTCTGGTGTTGCCCCCGCTCCCCACTGGCTGGTTAATGAAGGGCTTCGCGGGGGAGTCAGGGCAGGGTGGTGGGGCTGGTGGTGGAGAGGAGGGGGACTATAAGGGGGTGGGGTGGGCCTCACGACTCTGTCACTTCAATTCCAGGGCCAGTATCGGGCCAGCTGTTGATTCACAGCTCCTTCCTTCGCCACCACAACAAACAGAGCCCACACAAGGCACGGCCGGCTGGCAGAGCGGAGCGGGGCAGAGCCGGGCAGTATGGGACACTGACCGCCCCCCTACACCCCCTCCCAAGAAAAAGCCCTGGTGATCAATTTCTCCACTGTCGCTACGGAAACAGAGCGGTCTCTATTGGGGCTCGGTGTGTGTGTGTGTGTGTGTGTGTGTGTGTGTGTGTGTGTGTGTGTGTGTGTGTGTGTGTGTGTGTGTGTGT